GTAGACCAGACTGGCCTTTAACTCAACAGAGAACCACCTGACTCTGCTGTGCTGGGATCAAAGGCTTGTACCACCACACTCAGCATGAGTTTGTTTTTTTTTTTTAAGATACAGTATTACAATGCTTGAGTGAAATAATTAATATTTTAATTGTACATTTGTTCTAAGAAGTTTGTATTTTCTGTTTCTTTTTTATTTTTCTAGCATACAGTGAATAAAAGCTGTATTCTTACTGTAAAGGGGGTGAAAGGAGATGAAACAGCTCGTTACAAAGGGACGGGAGGGTTCATTTTCAGTAGTTGTCATCTCTTTAGTAATAAATCTTCAAATTCTTCTCAGGAAATGTGAATAGCAACCTCTGTTAGCACTTAGACAATGGCACAGTAGAAATCAACTGTTATGATAAAGGTACTAGGTTTAAAATCTGGTGTGATACCTAGTGAATTTGCTAACTGTAAGTAGTAGAGTCATTGTAGGTGTGTGAACTGTATTGGGCACTATATCACACTTGAAGATTTAGGCACATTTTCTGCTTAAAATGAACTTTGTGATCTGGTTTTAAATTATGACTTGTTTATAAGTAACGTACAAAAATACTAGGGGTGGGAAGAACGGGCTAAGAAGGTGTTCTGTGCACTCACAGAGGTGGAAGACATTTGTCTCATTCCTTCTTTCTTCATCTCTTTACTGTGGGTGGATAGTCCTGCAAACAAATCCTGGGTGAACACACAAATGGCTTTAGTATGCTCTTTTATTTTAGGACTCAGCATGATAGACTCTTGAAATGACAGAGACTGAAGAGAAAATCTATTTGGATAATAAATATAATTGTAAATAGGTACATTGGTTTAGTTTTGAATGTGTTCTCATTTTCTGGTACCTATTTGTTCCATTATTAAGTAATACAGAACAAAATATATTTGCAGAAAAACCTTTCTGTGAAGTATTTTTTCCTGAAGAGAGATGTTAGTCCCTGTTCGGTGCTTTGTTGACAAGGTCCTGTAACTACACAGGGCATGGTGGCGCAAGCCTTTAATCCCAGCACTTGGGAGGCAGAGGCAGGCAGATCTTTGTGAGTTCCAGGTCAGCCTGGTCTACATAGTGAGTTCCAGGACAGCTGGGGCTACAAGGGGACCCTGTCTCAAAAAAGAAAGAAACGTTAGAGCCACTATTCTAGCTGTGCGCCAAGCTCCAAACATTGTGTGTCCGGCTATCACAGTAGGTTAAAGGGTTAAGTGTAGACATGGCCTATATATTAGAACATACAGAAACTGAAAATTGAAAACCTCCAAAGTAATGTTTTGCGGCACTTTGGATTGACTGGGGTGCAATGCTTGAACCTGGCTGTCTTCCCCACCTCTTGTTTTTTTAACTGCTAACATCATGTCAGCTGGTAGCAATTTTGAAGATAACCATAGAAAAGCATTTAGGCTAAATTCACCCATGTCTTAAAATAATAAAATTCATGGCGAATACATGTAATTCTGGATTATCTGTTGTTTCATGTTGTAAAATATTTCATTTTTGGTATTTCAGTTTTTGTCATAATATAAATAATTTATTGAGTTGATTATATTTGTCTTCGCATCTAAATAATGCACATGTATACCAAAGACTTCACAAAACATGTTCCAAGAACAGAGTTTTCCTCGTGGAATTCTTAAATGACCTTAGAACTAATGCCATTCTTAATTCCTTTAGATGCTAAAGTATTGATGAAATTTAATGTTTATTAACACATCCACAGTAGTTTTAAGACCTGCTGAGACCTGTGCCTCACTTTCTCCAGTAAGACTTGTCAGTAAACTCAGAACACTTCTGATATGAAGAATGCTTCAAAGAATTTCATGAGTTCAGATGAATGTATAATATTAAGTAGCATCAGAAATATCTCTCTGTCTCTCTGTCTCTCTGTCTCTCTCCGAGGGCTGGGGATCTCACTGTGTAATCCCAGCTGGCCTGGCACTTGTATAGATCAGGCTGACCTCGAACTCACAGAGATCCGCCTGCCTCTGCCTCCTGAGTGCTGAGATTAAAGGTGTGTGCCACCATACCCAACCAGAAATCTTTCTTAATATCTCATCACCAAGCTGGAAAAAGGAATTGTATTTAATATACTATCTTTAGCACATACAACCATTTCTTCCATTGATCAACTACATTTTGTTTAGCTCAAGATCCACCTAGTACAAGTGGCAGAAGAGGCTGGGGCAAGGGCTGGAGGAAGTTCTTCCTCTGATTGTCCTTGTCTAGATGTATTTACACAGGCATCTGGGGAGTTTATACCAGAACTTGTTGTATAAACCCTATAAAGATAAATATTTTTCAGAAGAAATTAGATACATATTTTCAGAATCACAAATTGTGGTTTCTTAAAAGCCACAATTGTATTTTGCAATAAATTTTGTTTTTAATTTAACTTATAGCAATCATTCCCAAGTCAAGGCTATACCAAGCAAAGAAATTTCTTTCTTGTAAAAGCACTGTTCTTGGGCCTGGGGATGAAGTTCAGTGGTAGAGCACTTGCCAAGTACATTGCACATCCCTGGATTGGAGTCCCAATGCTGGAACAAGACACAGCAAACACAGACTTTCTTGGGCTGCAGCTAGTACCTTAACTTTTAGAAAATGACCCAAATCATCCTACAGGCCAAGAAACTAAGAATTTTTCTAATCCTAGGACAAATTAGATCACATTTTCATAATTAGATGTAACAAGTTGATTCATTGTTTTGATATATAAGGATTCTAACTTTAAAAGTTAATTTTCTCTAATTTTTTAAAAATTAAAATTCTTTTGGCCCGGAATAGTGGTGCATGCCTTTAATCCCAGCGCTTGGGAGGCAGAAGCAAGAGGATCTCTGATTTGAGGCCAGCCTGGTCTACATAGCTAGTTCCAGTCCAGCTAGGGCTATATAGTGAGACCCTGTCACAAAAAAAGAAAAAGAGAAAAAACAAAACAAAACAAAACAAAAACACCCAGTTTGGGCTGGAGCAATGACTCAGTAGTTAAGAACACTTGTTCTCTTCCATAGGACCTGAGTTCAGTTCCCAGCACCCACGTCAGGCAACTTACAGCTGCCTGTAACTTCAGCTCCTGGGAGATCTGATGCTTTTGGATTCTGCTGGCACCTGTGCTCACATGCACATACACATACACACACACACACACACACACACACACACACACAGAGAGAGAGAGAATTAAGGAAAAATTAAGAAATAAGTAGCTTGGAGCCGGGCATGGTGGCACACGCCTTTAATCCCAGCACTTGGGAGGCAGAGGCAGGCTGATCCCTGTGAGTTCAAGGCCAGCCTGGTCTACATAGTGAGTTCCAAGACAGCTGGGACTACAGGGAGACCCTGTCTCAAAAAGACCAAAAAAATAATAATAATAATAATAAAAAATAAGTAGCTTGGAAGTATTTTATAATATAATACTTATAGGAAATAGTAGAATAGTATTTCCAGAAGCGCATATTCTAGTGTTACTTTAAAACTTCTCTCTGCCCCTGATGTTTGTTTTGTCACCATCACTTTTAAAATGCAAAGCATTTAGAATGCCAACAACCTTGCAGTGTTAGACCGAAGTTATTCTATTGAAGAGAGAAAAGTGTGCATCATAGAATGTCTCCTGTCCGTGCTACTGCACATGTCCAGATCTAAATGAGTCTATGTTTGATTCTGTTTTGTTTTATTTTGGTTTTGTTTGTTATGGGTTTTAATTGCTTGCTCCTCACGCTGTAGCCCAGACTTGCCTGGAACTCATTGTGTAGCCCAGGCTTGCCTGGAACTCATTGTGTAGCCCAGGCTGGTCTTCAACTCCCCTCCACTTGTCTCAGCCTTCTGCATGCTGGGACTGTAGGGTCTAGTGGACCACGCCTAGCTCAATTCTAATTCAGTTCTGGCTTTTAGTCACCATCATTCAGTATTTCAAAAGGAATTGTTAATGCACTGCTCCAGTCCTTTTTTCCCCAGCATCTTACTATTTCAATATCATATATTTAAGTCCTGTGTTGTCATTTCCCCTTCATTTAGAGTCAGATAGGGAAATATTGAGAACTTTCTGAATAACAACAACAGAAACTTAACATGATTCTTATATAATCGGATTTTCTTTTCATTCTCAACATTAAAATATGAATAGGGACTGGAGAGATGATTCAGGGGTTAAGAGCACTGGCTGTTCTTTCAGAGAACCTGGTTTCCATTTCCAGCACGCACATGGTGGCTGACAACCGTCTGTAACTCCAGTTCCAGGGGATTCGATCCCCTCTTCAGGCCTCTGTGGGCTTTGCACGACGCAGGTGCACTTACACACATTCAGGCAATACACTCATACACATAAAATAAAAAAAGATATGATTAAAAATGTGAATAGATTTTTATCCTTTTGTATTTTTTCCTATTTGTTTTTAAACATCTGGAATTGTTTTGAAAATAGAAGCCATTGTTAATGAATATGTGGGAAGAAGATTTAAGCCTTTGTGGATGTCCTGTGTGTATTTGTTCGTCTGTGGTTTCTCTTTTTCTTGAATAGAGAGAGCATAGATCTAATAACATGTCATATACCTTGAAAACTGTCCTTTATTAAAACCAGTCATTTTTGAATCTCCACAAATCTGAAGACTTGTGTTCTGCACCTGTCTCAGCTCTTGGGTTGCAGGCTGTGAGTACTCTACTGGCTTGTTTATTTACAGTCACTATTTTGTCCTCTATTGGTTTCTAACTTTTACATGACTTCGGACATTTTTCTGGAACAGTATTAACGTTATTAGATTTGAAATTATCAGAGTGATCCTCATATAGAACCATTTTAGAGGCACTTGGAAACTCAACAATGTTTGCTTCTTGCTTAGAGACTTAACTAAGTAGCTCTCTAGGATATCACAGTAGTGAATATATATGTCCTCACAATGATTAACATATGTATGCTTTTTTAAGTGAAGATATTTATATCTAATATCCTTAACAGACAAAACCTGTTTTTATTTTTTTAGTGAAAGAATTTCTAGCCAAAGCCAAAGAAGACTTTCTAAAGAAATGGGAAAATCCTCCCCCGGTAAGGAATCCCCACATTTTTCTACTATTTCATATCTGTGTATAAAACTATAATTCCTGCCTAAGTAATTACAGAAATTTTGACTTTTAAGTGTTATTAGTAAATACAGTTTTAAAATGGAAATTACACCACAATGTATTTTAATTTGTTCATTGATGATTTTATCTATGCCAAAATTGGATAAGGAACCAATTTCTTACACGATAGCTTAAAGTTGGAGTTTTATTGTTGTTGCTTTGTTTCTTGGCACAGCCCTGGGGCTTGAACACAGGGCCTCATGTGTGCTAGGCAAGCGCTCTATCACTGAGTGGTATCCCCAGACTGCTGATACTCATGCCAAGTGACTGTCAGCACAGTGTTTTCTGAAATATTAATTCTTACTTACATCCTTGATAGTACAGAAGTTAGACACTATACTTACAAAATGTTAGACTCTGTGTAACGTGAAACAACAAGGAAGAAAAAGGAGATGGTATATTTTTATTATGTGAAGGAAGACAATGACTAAGCACAAAAAGTGTTCTGTTGTATACTGTTTGTTTTCACTATTTGATTGTGACTGTATTAAACATTTCAACCCATCTGTGTCAGCAAAACTAAAAATCAGATGTAAATCCAAAGTTAATTCAATCAGAATAATAAAGAATTTTTTTCTTCTTTGATGAAGAATTCCATAATGTGAAATTAACATATGGTGTTGAGAAGTTTTCTGAGTAAAACAGTATTTGCCTTCTGTAATGATCCAACATGAAACTGTGATGTATCTCAAAAGCCAGATTTGTGTGCAGGAGAGATGAAATTTTCTGCTGGTGAGCTCAGCAGCTACTGAGGTTTGTCACATGCACCAGAGTCCTACTGCATCACATTTTTCTCAAGCTAAACACTACAGATTGAGCCTTAAAAATATTTTTCTCAGATTTTCATGGATATCTTTGTAATGAAACCTATTAAGCAGATGGGTCATCAGTTGCTACTTGTTGCTAGTACATAATTTGTTCCTAGTAATTTTCATTTTGTTGTAGCAGCAACGGATTGAATAGACTGATGCCTCCAGTTCTTTGCTTCTGTGCAATAGTCAAAGCCAAACAAAGATGTATGCTTATAACAAAACATCTATTCAAGGAGAAAAAGAATTTGATTATTGTTCTGAGGCTCTAACTTTTGGTTCTTTGTGGAATGAAGAACTCTTCTTTCCTTCCTGATTTAGGTTATTATAGCATTAGGGAGAAAAGCCTGCAACCATTACCCAGTTTCAGTGCTGCTCCCTACTTATATTGCTGTTTTCTAGCTCTACAGCTAGCTACCTGTAGCTTTGTGGCTATTATTTAGTTCCGTGGATACTGTTTAGTTCCGTAAGCCCATCTAAAGACACAAACAAAAGGACACAGTGCTTTCCTTGGAGGTAACTCTGGTGAAAAGACTCAGCGCTCTCATTTTTCATTTTGTACTATTATTTACAAGTGTACTACAACTTTATACCTCATACAACTATCAGTTTGTACTTATTACAATATACAAAGTTTAGTAGATGTATTAGGAATTCCTATTGGAATTGAAATAGAACTTAGTATTTCAGCTGAGGCCTTTTATTTCTTTCTGTTAGCTTTATGCTCCATTTTACAAAAATGACTCTCTGTTACTGGACATTTCTTATTCAAATGGGGGAAAATTGAACAGATAACCTGGAATCTAAAGAGTGTTTTTGTATTGTTACTATGTGGATAGTTACAAATTAAATTAGCCATCAGGATTATATAATAGTAAGGGGATTATACTTGTCATCCTGTAGGAATTTCTAATTTAAATATTTTTTTTCCTGTGTAGAGTAATGCTGGACTCGAGGATTTTGAGAGGAAAAAAACCCTTGGAACAGGTTCATTTGGAAGAGTCATGTTGGTGAAACATAAAGCCACTGAGCAGTATTATGCTATGAAGATCTTAGATAAGCAGAAGGTTTGTCTGCGTGGCTTAATGTGGGGTGAACTCCTGTACCAGCTTCAGCTTTAAACAGATGCAGCATCACGCTGCACTGATACCTCCAGTTCATCCTGCTGTGGTTGTCATGTTCATTACTATTATGACTATGACAGTCAGTTAATATAATAGCTTTAATATATGGAGATAGAGTGTTATTCCAAAAATTATCTGTAGATAATGCATATCTAGACATACTGACAAAATAGGGACTTCAACATGGAAGAACAAGCTCCTTTCTCTACCTCACTGTACTTCATGGAAGAATGCAAAACCAAGTAATCCTCATTGCCGTAACAGAAATTTAGTAATCTTACTCCACGTCCTGTTTTACTTTACAGTAGAAACACCCTATTTAACTTGACTGAGTTTGGCCAATTTAAAATATCAACCAAAGCAGAGAAAAATTGTAAAACCTATAAAACAATTTTTAATTATTTCTCATATGTTGATGTAATGAATCAGGATGTCTGAAGTGGTTAATCCTTTAAATATTAAGTTGTTTTTCTGATAATCACTGACAAGGAAAGGATGAAGAATAGAAATAAATATTGATATAGTTCTTAATTACTACCTTACAGAGGCTGACTTTTTTATGAGTCGACAAATAGCCAGGGAGACAACAGTGACCAGATGACTCTGTCCTATGGGAATATAATTTGAACCACACTCATAATTCTAAATACTCTAATAGCCACATTTTAAGAAATGAAATGTGCTGGGCATGGTGACATACACCTTTAGTCTCAGTACTCAGGAGGCAGAGGCAGGTGGAGCTCTGTGAGACTGAGGTTGAGGCCAACCTGATCTACATAATGAGTTCCAGGCCAACCAGTTGAGGAAAGGAAGGGAGGGAGGGAAGGACAGAGGGTTGGAGGGAGAGACAGAGGGATGAAGGGACAGAGGGAAAATGTTACATACCTCAACAATTTTTTATTTGTTAAGTCTTAAACACTGGGTGTTTAAGTGTTAAATAACTATATGTGGCCAATGCCTACCACATTTAACGGCAAAGCATTAGACTGGTCCAACGTTCATTATAATTAAAACCAAAGTATAATCTCACATGAAAAGGAGGTAGTGACTTTAGTCACTCTAAAATTAAAGGTATCAGGTACATGCATTCAATTGACCAGGCTGTCTACTGCCCTTATTCACATTTCTTTTCTGACCATACTTCTTGAAGAATGAGTTCCACTAACCCACCTCCTATTAATTGTTCAACTCAAAACAGCTGCCCCATCCATTCTGTCTTTTGAGTGATTCTGCCAGGGGTCTACAGACCAGTGTCCAAAGTGCCAAGTCCAATAGACTGCCCATCTTGTTCTATCACCTTTGGAGTATAACTGACAGCCACTTCTTTACAGGGTCCTATCCCAGCCTCTGGAAATTCGTGCCCTCCTCATTATGCACCTGCTTCTCTGGGCGTCTTCCTGTTTTGTTTCTTTTCCTGTTTCATTGTGGTTTCCTAGTTCTTTCGAGACTGCTTGTCTCTAAGCTCCAAACTATCTGTCTTCTGCTTGTTCTACATCTTCTCTCATGTGTTCTCATCCAATAACCTCAACCCTTGCTCAAACTTTCCATTCCTAATCTGCACGGTCTAAGCATGGAGCTCGAGATCTTTTGGTTCCTGCCTTCATTTTGTAGGTGAGGTTAATGGAGCTCAAAGAGAGTAAGTGACTTCAACTTACACTGGTAGCAAAACAACAGAGTACTCTGCTCGTCCTTCTTTGGTAAACCTACTATAATAATATTCATTAAATGCTCCGTCAGGACGGCTTCTGATAAGTATGTTATCTTTTCTAAGGAATTTATAGAATGTTTTTCTGCCAAAACAGATGATAACAGTAGCCATCTTAGGTTTAAAGGATTTAGGGAAGGCTTCTTAGCTTCTCTTGGTAATGCAGTAACCTATTAAACAAACTGACCCTGTTACCTCCTGGATAAATAATGGTAAATGTGTATTTCCCAGAAAAATAACTACAGTTTTATCTCATTTCTGTTACTGCCATGTACTGGGTCTTGACATAAATTAGAACGAAAGACTTTATATTATGAATTTATTTAATTTGGTTATTAATAAAATAACAGCCCATAATTCCTTCTGTTAATAAGTTCATACAAGCCTTTCAAAGAAAAAAATTTAGGGGCTGGAGAGATGGCTCAGCAGTTAAGAGCATTGACCGCTCTTGCAGAGGACCCGAGTTCAATTCCCAGCACCCACATGGTGGCTACGAACTGTCCTTAACTCCAGTTCCAGGGGAATCTGAAGCCCTGTGCACTCACGTACATGCAGGCAATATACTCATACACATAAAATAAAAATAATAAAAAAAAAAGAAAAAATATTTAGCTTCTTTAGTCTTATGGTGAAGGAGAAAAGTCAGTGAGACATCAAGATCATATGTCTCCTCTCTATACAGTATCTCAAATATTGCTGGTATATGCACATACATATGTACATGAACACATACATGCATACCCACATATGCATGCACCTGTACACATAGGTTACATTAGTGAATCTTTTTTTAAATTTTTATTTATTATTTTTATTTTATGTGTATGAGTTTATTGCCTGCATGTAAGTAAATGCACCCATGTTGTGCAGTACCTGCAGAGGACAGAAGAGTCCATTGAATCCCTTGGAGCTGGAGTTACAGACAGTTGTTAGCTGCCATGTGGGTGCTGAGATTCAAAACCAGGACTTCTGCAAGAACAACCAGTGTTCTTAACCGCTGAGTTGTCTCTCCAGCCCCACATTAGTGAATCTTGACAGCTGCGTGGCATCATCCTCCCTTTTAAACCAATAATCTTATATCTAAGAATCTAAGTAATTTTTCCAATGCCGAGCAGCTAGTAAGTTGAGCCAATAAATCGATCTAGTTTTTCCTGATTGCCATGCCTTTATTCTTCATTAATTTTGCCCTTGACATCTGGTTCTATCTCTAGAATCCTAACCAGTCCCTAGTTTGATGTCCCATTAACTTCAGCCCGTCTTTTAGACCCCTGATTTCCACAACCCCAGACTCTCACCTCTGCTTTTTACATCACATTAGTTCCCACACCCACCTGGCAGCCGGCACTCATTAAAGGAAGGTGGCGCTGCTTCACCTCCTGCCTAACTAACCTTCCCAGTTTTCTTCCAGACTCAAGTATATAATTTTCTGGGTGGAAAAAGGAAAGCGCTGTGGTCCATCTTGCTTATTACTAACTCCTCTAGTGCTTTACTTGACAAAATCAATTAATGCTTTTAAACCAGTACATGTAAGCTAACATAAATATCAGAAATAAATATAAATTTTATATGAATTTTGAAGATAAAATATAAACTGTATCCCAAGAGATAGTTGTAAAATTTCCTCTGACATTTAGGAAGGTCTCATTATCAGTGTTTCAAAAGTATTATCTGGAACCATAGCCAAATGAAAGTGCACCCTGCCTTTCCTCTGTGTTCTTCTGAATTGGTGTGACTGTTAGCCTTGACCCACTTTTTTCCATCTCTCCTGAACCTTCATTATCCATCCATCTTTTCAAAGTCACTACAGCTCTTTTGTGAGTAAATTATTTTAACAACTGGCGTATATTGAGCTGCACTGTACGCCAGGCAGTCCATTAGCCAGTGGACATTGCTTATATCACATGGTCACTTTCAAAGCATCAGCAACTTAGAGACTTAGGATTCTGTCCTCAGTGTCAAGTGAACATTTTCTCTTCTAACTTTCCAGTTATTCATGTATTGCTAACTAACTTTTAGTTATTCATGTATTGCTGTTCACGTATCCATGCACCTTTCAGGTAGCTTCTGTGCAGCATGAAAGCAGGCATTGTGGTCAATGGGCATAATTAAAAGTAAATTCAATTTTAAGTGGCTAATTTTTTAAAAATTGTTGCATTAAAAATTGGCTAAGCATATATGTCTTGCCAGTTCATATATCTTGAATTATATCCTGGACATACATACTAGGCTAAAGTTTGAAATGCAGAGAGTGTCTCTTGTGGTTATTACTTCACAAGCCAACACATATTTTGTGCCTCATTAAAAGCCTGCTGTATCACATAAAAACAGGCATAAAGCGGCAGTAATTGTCCGGCTGGTGTTACATAATTTGCTGTGATAATTATGATGTAACTGGTTCTATAACTGGGTAAAATGTGGACAGTAGTGGCCCAACAACTTCATTTTGTGGGTTTTAAAAGCTGAGGTCTAAGGAGTTGGAATAACAACCCAAATTCCCAAAGCTGGTGAAAAGATGGCCTAGGCTACACATAGATCTGACTCCTAACCATTCATCTTTGCTCAGTCCTGTTCACTCCTAATTTCATGTACTATGTCAGTCACTGGCTGATATTGTCACCTTCTTTATGTTCAGCTGATTGCCTTCTGTGACACCGCTCTGTGATGTAAGCTTCTGGCAAGAAAGAATGTACTTCTTGCATTGCTGAAGTACACATTTACATGGCAGTTATTACTTAATAACTGTCCTGTTCTCTTAAATTCAGAAGAAAATCCCCTGTGGAATAGGCTCACGATCTTCATGAAGTCAATATTATGGTTTCCCTTTCTGTTGAGTAGACTCTCCAGGGTATGTTTGATTAACCCTAAATATCTGTTTCTTACAGAGATTGTAGTGTTTGCCAATATTTTGTATGTTCTACTCTGCAGCTATATAAATTAATTTTTTTTTATTTTTAGCCATATATATCCAGATATAAAATGAACAGATTATCCTAAAATATTTTTTCAATTTTTACTTCCTTGATCCTTAATTTTCTTACTGATCTTCTAAAGTATTCAAAATCCCTGCCTACTGTTGATATGATATATGATTTCACTGTATACTTGTGAACGAAATACTTTCACATAGTAACCTTTAAGGTAATTTTATAGGTCCATTTCTTGCCCCCATTTAGCTCTTGTTTCTTAATTCACAGTTGATTTTTTTTTCTTTTGACACAGTGTCTCACTCTGTCACTGTGTAACACAAGCTGAACTTAAACTTCTGGCAACCTTCTGCTTCTGTCTCCGCAGTGTTGGGCTTATGGGCATGCTCTGCTACAGCTGGTACAAACTTATCTTCTGAAGACCAAGGTTGACATTTTCTGTTAGGTTGCTACCATTTGATTCTTACAAGTCTAATGGATAGCTATTGTTTTTCCTTATTCAGGTCTAATAATTTTGCTTATCTGATAGTATTTATGGAAAACATTTTTCATTTAAAATTGTTATAACTTTTAAATTTAAGTACACTAAAATGTGTCCATCTTTCAATTGCAGGTTGTTAAACTGAAGCAAATAGAGCATACTTTGAATGAGAAAAGAATATTGCAGGCAGTGAATTTTCCTTTCCTTGTTCGACTGGAGTATTCTTTTAAGGTAAATTGTAGTGATATCTAAGACAGATATTTTCAGCCAGATACACTTTTTAAGATATGAAATTATAATAGAATCTAAGGAAGTGATAAAACTAGAGAATGTAAATAAATAAAAAAGGAGGAAGATTTTATGTAATTAAGTCCTGCTTTGCTTATAGCTTGGTAACATTGGGGTAAGTTACTTCTCCCTGGAGCAACTGCTATGGGATTTTTCATGGGATGGTAACGCAAATCAAACACAGGGATTACCATCTGCTTTCTGTTGCTGTGATCAAGCACTCTGACCAAAAGCAACTTGGGGGAAGAAAGACCTTTTGGAGTCTTATGCTTCCAAATGACATTTCATTACTGAAGGAAATCAGGGCAGACACTCAAGGCAGGAGCCTGTAAGTGGGAGCTAGAGCAGAGACCATGGAGGAACACTGCTTACTGGCTTGCTCCCAGGGCCTGGGCTTAGCCTGCTTTCTTAAACAATTCAGGACCACCTGCCCAGGGGTGGCACCTCCCACTGTGGCCTGTGCCCTCCCACATCACTCAGCAGTCAAGAAAATGCCTCTCAGATCACAGGCAGATCAGATAGAGGAAATTCCCCAGCTGAGGGTCCTTCCTCTCAGGTTGTAAGGTTGACAACTGCAGCTACCAGCACAGTGATCCAGAAAAACACACACACACACACACACACACACACACACTCATAAAAGTGCAGAAGCCTTGTTAAGCAGTTCTTACGCCCATTCAAATGAATACACTTGAACATACTTTCTACTTTCCTTAAACCCTGTCCTAGTTTGTTTCTCCATTGCTGTGACAAAATACTCTCACCAATACCAATTTGGGGAGGAAAGGGTTTACTTTATCTTATATATCCTAGTCATAGTTCATCAGGGAGCCCAGTGTAGGAACTCAGGGCAGGAACCTGGAGGCAGGAGCTGGAGCACAGGCCATGGAGGAATGCTGCTTACTGGCTTGTTCCCCTGGCCCATGCTCAACCTGCTTTCTTAGGCAACACAGGCCCACCTGCCCAGGGGTGGCACCACCCACAGTGGGCTGGGCCTCCCACATCACTCAACAATCAAGAAGGTGCCCCACAGACATGGCCACAGGCCAGTCCAATGAAGGTAATTCCCCAATTGAAGCTCCCTCAACCCAGGTGTGTCAAGTTGACACTCAAGCTATCCAGTACAAACCCTTTCTGTCAGGACCAGAACATTTTCTTTTCCTTACTAATTTATATTCTGGGTTTCGGTGGGGTGTTGGTATTGTTGTTTTGCTGAACAGGTAGGGCAGTGTCTGCTCCTATCCAAATGTCAAATAAAGTAGAAAAGGTTCATTCTTTAAACTAGAGCTCCTTAGATCTGGAATGATACTTGGCATCTCTGCACCACTAAATCATATGAAGCACTTTCACTTTTCTTAGTCCTTTATTCTTAAATCAAATAAAGACCTATGTACTTAAGATATTAAAACCATTCATCTCTCAGGCATAAAATGTAAATATTCTTACTTGCTTTTCTAAGTCAGCTTTTAACTTGTTATTCCTGTCATATGCTGTGCTAGGGTGCCATTGCCACAGTGCTTAACTATCCAAAAACAAACATTTCAGGCAAGAACAGGACAGCAAAAATCCCAAATTAATTTGTGACTGGACTACCAAAGGCAGCAGAAGGACACCAAGAGCACTTTTCATTTCTGTCTTTCCCCCAATTTCATTAATCTGTCAAAACAACTTGGACTTTCTTGGACTTTGCCCTTTCTAATTAAACAAGACATAATCTTAAAATATTTTTTAACCTAGCTGTCATAATTTTTACTTATTTTCTGTTATTTGTTCATAGGATAATTCTAATTTATACATGGTTATGGAATATGTTCCTGGGGGTGAAATGTTTTCACATCTAAGAAGAATTGGACGGTTCAGGTAACTAATGCTCATAGCTTCCTTTTTCAGGTCTTTAGGTGCTTGTGTTTACTTTAAACCAAAGTTTTAAGTTAATACCAGTGCCAAAAAATACATTTAGCTTAATTTATCAATAGTTTACCTATATAAAGCATTAGGTAGAAACATTAATAAGAGACCATACCAGAAGCTCATGAGAACACTATGAAACCAATTTAAATATTCTGCCTTTGATACGTATTGTGGGAGTATTTGAAGAATTTCCAGACAAATGTGAAAATTAATTAAATTTTGAAACGCCAGTATTTATTGAACAAATACTAATATATACTAATATTTAATAACAGTAGTACTAGCAGAGATTTTCATGAGAGTGAATAAGGAGGAGGTATATAAAAGTAGTAGTGGTAGCATGCTGATGATCGAGTTCTTACAAATGTAATTTGTGAAATGTAAACACATTTTTAAAATATACACATAATTTAAAGAGTTTGTAGCTTACTAGATGATTACTAACAAGATCTCAGTTTTTCTGCTAGTTTTGTCTGTGTACAGGGCTCATAGCTGCTACTGTTAATAAGCCCTAGTAAAGTGGATCTAAATTAAGAACAGACCAGCTTTTCTCAGGTAGGACTCAGTAAAACCTAAGTATGAGCTCAGCAGGAGCAATGGTAGACGGGTATCACAAGATGATATCAGATAAGCAACCATTAGTGTTATTAGAGCTGCATGAGGCCCAAGGAAGATTCATTTATCAACCCATCACGTATGAGGAACCCAGCATGTCTCAGGGACTGCAGTGGAAAGCAGTGTCTGTTCATCCCTGATAATTTTTTTACTTCCTATTCCACCTCTCTTTCCTATCACCTCTGTCTAAACAGGCGTGATCCCCGTGTTCCCCTAAAATTACCCCTTGTTCAGGGAAGTGCCACATCCAAACTTGTTCTCAAAATGTATTTCATCCTTTACTGCAATGGCTAATTTCTTTGCTTTGTAACTCTCCACATTTGTTCCTTAATGCTTAACTTGCTGCTGTAAGGAAAGCAAGTTGATGGAAGTAATTCATTATCTTTCCTGATAAACACAGGCTACACATGCACTCTAAAATGCTGCTTATTCCTACCCTATGAGTACCAGAGAATCTAAGTAATTTCTTTGGGTGACTTTAATCAGAGATCATGGAGTCATTGTGAGATTGACTTATGTAGGTGTCTGCACTTAAAGCTGCTTTAAACATCCTGTTCTCACCCAGAATTCTCTAAATAATTAAGCAGAAATATCCAGTCCCAGGTTGCCTTAGAATATTTTCCTCTCACTTTTCAGCAGTCTGATTATAAATCTACGTAGTATGCATATTCCTTCATTCAAACATCAGTTTGTGGAAACAAACATAAGACACCAAGTAGGTTTATACACTAGAGAAAATATAAAGAAGCCTCCCAGACCCCCCCCTTTTTTTTAGTATTGGGGTTCATGCTGCCATAATGGGGGGGGGGCGTCTCTACTTTTGCTACTGTGCCCCTCTCATTCTTTATTACAGTGTTGGAATGGGGCTGAAACAGCAAAGTTACTATAAAATATCCCCCAAAGTATTTTTCTTTACCCTATTCCTACATCCAACAAATACTTACTGAGCATCTGTAGTAGATGAGGCCAGGACCTGGGGGATGTGGTGACACACACAAGGGGCAGCATGTGTAAAATGCATTTTGGAACTCTGTTTCTGGTGCCATCCCTTGAGGGAAATCCTATTAATAGTTAAGGTTGTTTATTAAAGACATAAATGTGAAAGTCATTACAGTTTCTCAGGCAGATTAGCATATACTAGAAATTAATTAAAAATGCAGATTCAAAAGTTGGTATGTCATTTTCAAGAAATGCTGAGATTGGGATGTGAAAATTACACTAATCTGTCAGAATTACAGCTATACGTAGATGCAGTCTATGTGTATAAGAACAATGCATGATTTGTACACATATAAAAGTGTGTGTGTGTGTGTGTGTGCGTGTGTGTGTGTGTAAAAACATGCCTGGTAGATCTGAAAGTTCACATGACTGCTTCTGGATGGGAGTGTGAAAGCTTTTACTCTTTACCTATATTATGTATGATTTTTCTCTGTGATGAGTGTATATCACTTTTGTAATAGGAACTGCTTCAGAATAGGTAAGGTAGCATTCATCTTCCGCTTACTGCGACTGAAGTAGATTCTGTGTAGTGAAATTCTTTATGCCCTTGAAATTTGTAGGAAAAGCAAACAAAGTCATCACTGTTAACTACAGTGATGCTTCTTTAGACCAGGAAGTTGGCACATCACTTTTCAGTCATCCTCAAGGTCGGTCGTAGTCATAATGACATCATAGTTGCCTAACATGGGCAGTAATGATTTACAGTAAGAGTGCTGTTTTAAGGTTATGTTTTCTTCAGCATAAAAATAAGATTCTAAGCATATCTTCTTTTTACAGATGTGTAGGGAAATTTGTCCCCTAAATGTATCAAAGCATTATTTGATAGCAACTTAGAAACTTATGAAATATTTGGAAACTGGCAAATTTTTCACCAACATTTAAAAGAAAAATGTACTCTCTCTCAAAATACTTCTACTCCATGTAAATTTTAATGTATAGTCTACTAGTTAGCATTTGTTAAGTTACCATTTTACAGAAAATCAATGTTTTGTGTTTTTTCCAGTGAGCCCCACGCTCGGTTCTATGCGGCCCAGATAGTGCTAACATTTGAGTACCTCCATTCATTAGATCTCATCTACAGAGACCTAAAGCCTGAGAATCTCCTAATTGACCACCAAGGTTATATTCAGGTATGATTTGAACACCTTGTACAGATGTATTTTGAAAAACACTGTGAGGAACAGATTTACACATTTAGCTAAATTATCAGCGTTGAATTTCTTTTCATTTTCGGGAGAAAATTGGTTCTTTCTAATAGCTTAAATTGAATTCCTAGTTCTGCTATTACAGAAGTAAAAATCACATCAAGGGAAGAACTTGTTCATGTCTCCTAGAATCTGTCATTCTGAGCTAAGCACAGGTCCTACAAAAAGGACTAAATGTGTGAGTTGTCGTTAGTGCCAAACATTGCTTACATGTACAGGTTGAACACCCCCTAAATCTGAAAATCCAAAATCTGAAACTTTTTGTGTATTAACATGACACCGTAAGTGACAAATTCTTCACGTGATGTCATTTAATCAAGGCAGTCAAAACACAAGTGCAGCAAAAATATTGCATGGCGCGTCTTCAGGCTGTCTATCACCGTAAGGTGTCTTTGAAGCATGAATGAACCTTGTGTTTGGACTTGGATCTCATCACAAGGCACTTGTCTACGGAAATATTCCAAAATCTGGAAAAGTCCAAATTCTGAATGACTTATGGTCCCAAGTGTTTTCCGTGATAATCTGTATTGCCTCTTTTAATGCAGATAAGCCTATGAACTGTAACAACTGTTATTATCCTCATTTTAAAGCTAATGAAACTAAGATATTGCCAGGTTTATAGCCAGTAAATGTTAGAATTAGAATTCTAACCCAGAATCTGGTCCCAAGTCCAGGCCTCTACCACCAGAGAACAATGGCCAGGGGAGCCCTAACCACTGATTCTGGGCTGTCAGCCACATTTCCTCTCCAGTGCTATTGATATCATGGGCCTTACTTTCTACACATCTCGGAGGAGTTTCCTGTCTGTGGTTTCGCTTTGGTGAACATACTGACTGAAGAGTCATTGGGCTTGAGGGATATTTTTACCATACTTCATTTTTATCAAAACTGTTAATCTTTATTTTCACTTTTTAAATTATTTGGTAATTGTATCTGATGATAATGAGTTACTCTTCTTGATTTGCTTGTTTTGAGAAATGGAAAAGGTTTCCAGCTTGGGTTGTTTCAATTTTCATTCACTATATATTTAATTGCCTTCATGAATTAGTATCAGTTACATTGACTCATTTTTTTTCCACGTTTTTCATGGATTCAATAATAATCTTGAATGTTTAACTCTTGATCTGGTTACAACAAATACATTTATTGTGACATGATAAATTTTCACAATTTTTTTTTTCCTTTTATAGGTCACAGATTTTGGGTTTGCCAAAAGAGTCAAAGGCAGAACTTGGACATTATGTGGCACACCAGAGTATCTGGCTCCAGAAATAATCCTCAGCAAGGTACGGATGCTGTCAGCACAGAGCAGAGAGCTGTGTTGCTGTGGACTTCTGTCAAAACAATTCAGTGACTGAAGCTCACATTTCTTATTTGATCTAAGTTATAAATTTAAATCTACTTGTGCATGATTACTAAACAGTAATTCAGTAGTCTCTCCTAATCCTCTAACTTCTGTCAGTTTTTACTATGGGTCTTAAAGAAGTAAAGTCATTAATCTGATCTCTAGACCCATAAATAGTGGGTACATAATGGTAATATTTATATTAGCATGTTTCTATGAAGCTTGTTATCAGCCATGATCTATGTCAATTGGCACCAAAGATTATGGGGAAAAAACAATAATTACCCTTACTACTCTCTACATTGGGGTCAAAACATTAGCTTTACAAATCATTTTGAAGCCAAAACTAGTCTTCCTGGTTCTTCCAGAAGTGGAGCGTGCAGGGGGCTAGTTCTGGGCCTCCAGGAGGCAAATCTGATATGCATCAGTTCTCCCTTTTTTTCAAGTTAACCACCTAGATGAGAGGGAGTTATGGAAATTAACTTTAATTTTAGCTTACTAGTAATATCACAGCAATTAAATGCTCTCAATCTTACGGAAATGGTGAGATGTGGTGGGAGAGACTGTAACCACATTTAAGAGTCTTCACTTCTCTTTGCCCTGCCTTGCCGTCTCCTGATAGAGAAAACTGGAAAGAGGAAACTAAACAAGCTGAGCTCAGATAGGGGCAAGGAAAGGCAAACAAGGTCACAGGCATTAAAGGATTGCAAGCTAACCAAATGAAATTCAACTGACCTATAGAAGAAGTTCTAGGGTCAAAGAAGAACCTTCTATGGCTTTCTTATTATCTTTCATAATTTAGCTTTTTGGTTTCTTGGAATCTAAATAACTAACCTTAAAATGTAAGTATCATGGTTGGTAACTTCACACATTTCTTTTTCCTTAAGTGGATTCAACAAATATATGATCACAAAATAAGCATGAAAACGTGTATAAATATGAACATATTATAAAATGTTTCTTGTGCCAAATTTGGAGAATATAGAAAAATATGAAAAAACAACCAAAAACTCTGTAATCCTACACCCCAAAGGCACTCTTGTTTTTCTAAGCACATTTCCTAGTTGAGATCCTGGTGAATGCTTTGCATTTGGCAAGTACACTAATATGCATGCAAACACGATTCATTCATTCACATGAAGCAGCCACTCCTCTTTTGTTGACTATTTAATTTCCTGGGTTTTTTTGTTGTTGTTTGTAGACTTTTCTGGGGTTTTGTACATAAAGCTTTTCTATATTTCACATTACTTCCATTAATTCCAGAAGTGGAATTATTGAATCAGAGGACGTGAACATTTAATATAAATACCAAATTGCTTTCCAAAGAGATTGTACTATTTTATGTTTTTGCCAGAAGTGTATGATAGTACCTGCTTTGCCACATCCTTCCCAGCACTGGGTCGTCTCTTTTCAAATATTTACTAATATAAAGGTAGTAAATGATTCCTCACTGTGTTGTCATGTCTTTGATTATGAGATACTTTTCCAGATAATTAACATTTAGTATTTCTTTGTGTATATAAATTCAGAATCCATGTCCTTTGACCTTTATTTATTGCATAGATTTTTTTTTTAATTCTCTGTGTCTAGGGTATTGACTTGCATCTAACTGACATGTTTACTATAAATATTAGCGCAGAATTTAAAGCATTGTGAAGTGAAAGGATTGAGCAGCCAATGTCCACTTCCATTAGTAAAATAAAATGCTAGCCTGTTACATTAGTCCCTCCTCTAAAAAAAAAAATATATATATATATATATATGTATATATAATCAGAGAAAACAGAAAGAAAATCCCCATATTGTCTTTTATTGTATGTAATAATTGGAAAGCTAAATGATTTGGAAAGTTAATGTTTTGACCCAAACATAGAGAGTAGTAATTACTTTTTTTCCCCCATAATCTTTGGTGCCAACTGACACAGACCTTGGCTAATAACAAGCTTTATATAAACATGTTAATATAAATATTATCATTATGTGCCCACTTATAGTTTTACATGTGAATTTTAGTAAGTTTACTATTATAGCCAAATGAAACTAACCCTAACTTTGGGAATTGTATTTGGTTTGCAAAGTCCTTTTGCACACGTTACCCCTTTCTTTTGATAAATTACTCACAAAAGCATAGGACTTTGTTTTCCTTCATATACACTTTCAGGAGATGAGAGACTGAAGAATAGATAGCAAAAAAGTACACTTAAATATAAATACTGATTAGATTCCACATTTAATTTTTTCAGTTTCAAAAGATACTGTAAAGTGGACAGAATAATCAAGTATTTTCAGCCTCTTAGTTCCAAGAATGTAGGCCGTTCTGAAATCAGTTTCATCGGTTACTATTCCAATAATATTATTGGGTTATTTTGTTTTAGACTTCTGACCATTCTAGATAGACTATCAATCGCAAACCTAATTCATAAGGTTATGGACTAGGATGGACCTCGAAAGGTAGCTTGGTCTAATTCCCTTTCTGTTGTTGGAAGCATCCAGCAGAATGAGAGATTTCATTGGCCATGTTGTTCTTAATGACTTTAGGGATGAGTTCATAAGCCTTCCAATATCAAATTCCAATATCTGGGACTCCATTAGCCATGGTTTTTTCATATTTTTCTTATTCTGTCTTGAATAGCTGCTTAGTAACTGCATAACTTTTTGTTCAGTGTACTTCCAGATCATTTTGAAATTGCCCATAACTTAGATTTCTTCTGAGTAACTTACGTAATAATTGGCATCGCTGTTTGTTTGTTCCAGGGCTACAATAAGGCGGTGGATTGGTGGGCACTAGGAGTGCTAATTTATGAAATGGCAGCTGGCTACCCTCCGTTCTTTGCAGATCAACCAATTCAGATTTATGAGAAGATTGTTTCTGGAAAGGTAAGCAATATTATTATTCCTTTCTTATTCATTATTTATACATGCGTTGCAAAGTTTATATTTTAGAGCCATATCATGTTATCATTGTACTATCTAAACTGGGAGAAAATAGAAATATTCAGTATTGTAAGAATAAAGAGCAGTTGTACAGACACATCAGCAAAATAATGAGCTTCAATTTTCAGAACAATATTTTGTTTATAATAAAGCAGGATCATAGTTATTCTCAATATTCCTTTAAATAAATATGAATTATAATTTCATGTGGATATCTACTTGGAGAGCAGGTTTAAGAGCTCTTTTTAGGTGCCTGTTTTCAACACAGGCTTCTTGTCCAAATTACATCAGAATTAGATGTAAATGTAAAATGGATAGGGCTTTTCTAGGATAGAAATCACAGAATTGATTTTAACAGAATTATTTATCTTTAAAGTGAGTGTAATTGCCACTGACTTAACAATTAGAAAATAACAATTATCCTCAAACAGGAGTAAACTGAGTATGTCACAATGTACTGCATTTTAGAAATTAACAACTTTTCTTTTTTAAAATTAATTTTTTACAATATATTTTATTGAATTTTTGTTCACTTTATGCATCTTAATCATAAACACCCTCCCTGTTTGCTCCCTCCATAGCCCACCCCACCTGATTTCACACATTCTTTTCTTTTTTTAATTTTATTATTTTTATTTTATGTGTATGCGCATATTGCCTGCACGTAGTTAAGTGCACCTGTGTCATACAGTGCCCACGGAGGTCAAAAGAGGCTGTCGGATCCCCTGGAACTGGAGTTATGGACGGTTCTTAGTTGCCATATGGGTGCTGGGAATCAAACCCGGGTCTTCTACAAGAACATCCAGTGTTCTTAATCGCTGAGCCATCATCTCTCCAGCCCCCATCATGCATTCTGTTATACATGTTAAGGCCTATCTGTCGAGTCAAGTTTGTTTTCCCAGATGTCCCTTGATGTGAGTTCATCCACTGTAACCTGGTCAGCCTATCTAGCATCACTCCCTTAAAGAAGACCAATCCTCACCCAGCAATGATCAGCTGCCAGTAGTTCCTCAGCTAATGTTGGGGCTTCTTACCTATGCTGGGTTTTTGTCTGCTTTGAGTTTGCATGGGTCTTATGCATGCTGTCACCATTGATGTAGATTCTTATGAGCAAGTTCCTAGCTGCCTGGAAAACTCTTGTTTCCTTGTGGTCTTACAGTCTTACAGTCTTACAGTCTTTCCACCCTCTCTTCTACAATGGTCCCTGAGCCCTGGGTGGCAGAGGTTTAATAAGGGTATCTTACCCAGGGGCACACACTTTGTAGTCTCTTTATTTTCTACATTTTGGCCAGTTGTGGCTTTCTATGGTAATTACCCTCTGTTGCATGAGGAAGTTTCACTGCTGAAAGTTGAGATATTAATAGTCTTTCTACTCACTGCTCTGCTTTTTTGCTTTGGTTTGGTTTGTTTGTTTTTTGACCTGGGATCTCCCTGTAGCCCCAGTTGGCCTAGAATTTGTAGTAGACCAGATTGGCCTCGATCTCACAGAGATCTTTCTGTCTCTGTCTCCAGTGTACTGGGATTATAGGCCTGCCCTGCCTGCCTGGCCCTCTTTCACATTTTTAATCTCTAACTTTTCTTCCAGAAGTATTTTGCTCAGGGTCAGTCATTCTTACCTCAACACATCTTAGATCTTTTCTGAAAATTTCCACATCAGGGAAAGCACAGCCTTGTAAACTTTCAGGACCAGTAAGATGACTCGGCCTGTAAAGGCACCTGCTGCTAAGACTGATGACCTGAGTCCCATCCCTGGCACCCACTAAGTGAAAGAGCACCAATTCCTGAAAATTATCCTCTTGAGTGGCACACCCATGCTCCTTCCCCACACACATAAATAAGGAAATGTAATATTAAAAATGTAAGCATTTACAGAGGGCATTCTGTGCATTGTAGCCATGATCTGTGGAGGGGACTCTTTCCCTTCTTGCTTATAGCACAGCCTTTCACCATGTTCTTGGTTTTTTGTTTTTCATAAAGACCACATATCCCCCATTTAGAATATGGCCATCAGTTTTAAGTCACATTGCCGGGTGTGGTGCATGCCTTTAGTCACAGCATTTGGGAGGCAGAGGCAGCCTGGTCTACATTTGGGAGTTCCAGGCCAGCAAGGACTACATAGTGAGATCCTGTCTAAAAAACAAGCTGGGAGTGATGGCTTACGCTTTTAATTCCAGCACTTAGGTGGATCTCTATGAGTTCAAGGCCAGCCTGGTCTACATAGCAAGTTCCAGGCCAGTTGAGGCTATAGGGAGACCCTGCCTCAAAAAAAAAAAGGCTCAGAAGACTCAGAGGGGAGGGTGGGAGTATAACTTAGTGGTAGAGTGTGTAGGAAGTCTGAGATTTGATCTCCAGTACTGAATAAAAGTGAAGAATGAAATTACACTGCCCTGAGATGTGAGGCACTAGACCTTTTGTGGTCAGTGTATCTTATGACCTTCATAGGCCTAGTCAGCCTAATCACCCTGTAGATTGTACAGGGATTAGAGACAAAATTCTTCCTGTCATAGCCACCTCATGCTCTGTATTTTGTAAAGCTGAGCTCAGCATTCATGAATTTAAATTTACAGTGTTCAGTATTTACAAGGTACCCTGACTATCCACGACATGATGATTTATCTTTTTTGACAAGATCCAAAATAAGTCATGGATACTCCACAGTGAGGCTGTTGGAAAAGATGCCAATAGACTATCTGTCCAACTATTCAGATTCCCTATCTCAACATAGGCTCGTGTTTGTTCAGACCTCAGTGCATATGCAGTCTACAGGGTCGTGAGAATTTTTTTTTTTTTTTTGTATTTTACTACATTTTCTGGGGAAAGTTTGCTATTAGATTAGTATTCACAAATTAGGGACTAACTAACTAAAGACCTTAGGCCTTCACTGTGGTACAGGTAAGAAGACTCTTTAGGTAAATAAACTGAATAAGATGTCAAAAGATTTGCACTGATAAAGGCAATGCAGATGGATAGAATACAGTGTTTGAGTAACAAGTGTCTCTCCTGACTACATTTGTAGATCTGTAGGTTTCAGATTTCTCACTTTTAGAATTGTTTTCCACTGGAAAAATAAAGTCACAAAGAACTTCTGATATACACAAGATAAAACACTGAGGGCAACGCAGCAATTTTTTTCTTTTTTTTTTTTGATCTTTTTTTTAAGACAGGGTCTCCCAGTCGCCCCAGTTCACCTGGTACTCACTATGTAGACCAGGCTGGCCTTGAACTCACCCTGCCTCCCAAGTGCTGGGACTAAAGGCATGCGCCACCACGCCAGGCTAGCAATTTATTTTTTAAGAATGTAAGAAATGTGCTGGAGAGCTGGCTGCACAGTTAAGAATATCAGCTGCTCTTGCAGAGGATCTGGATTTGATTCCCAGTTCCCACATGGCAACGCACAACTTCCTGTAGCTTCAGTTCCAGGGGCATCAATGCCCTCTTCTAGCCTCCACAGGTTCTTGCATGCACATGATGCACAGAAGCCACTCAGGCACACACATACAAATAATAAATAAATAAGGGGATTTTTTTTGCATTTTTCTTAAAAGTTTTAATAAAAATAATATTGAAAGGTCACATAGAGCGGAAAAAGAAATGACATTTCAAAATAAGTAAAGTTTGGGGCTGTGGAGATGGCTCAGCAGTTAAGAACACTGTTCTTGCAGAAGACCCGGGTTTGAATCCCAGCACCCACTGGTAGCTAACCACTGTCCATAACTCCAGTTCCAGATGATCTCACAGCCTCTCCTGTCCTCCATGGGCATTGCACGACACGGGTACACTTACCTACATGCAGGCATAACATTCATACACATAAAATAAAAAAATAATAATAAATAAAATATTTTTTAGAAATAAGTGAAGTTTATGTTTTTGCAACATCAGGAATCAGTTTTCTCAAGCAGTTAGCTCAGCTTTCATTTCACCAGAATGATGGAACAATTAAATGAGATTCCTGGCAGTAAAACATTTTCATTTCTCTTCCTCATTCTTCTCATCTGGAGAGTGATCCTTTGTGCACAATGACCTTCTTTACCTTAGCCAAATGAAGAGAGAGGACAACTTGCAAGAGTCAGTCCTTTCCTTCCAGTCTTGGTTCTGGTGATCCAACTCAGGTCTTCAGGCTTAGTGGCCTTTATTGGCTGAGCCATGTCACTGACCTTGGCTCATCTTTTTTTGCCCATGAAATGCTGGTGTTGCCGGGTATCAGCATAGTGGTACACGCCTTTAATCTCAGCACTTGGGAGGCAGAGGCAGGTGGATCTCTGTAATATTGAAGAGGGAGACATTGTCAAGCTTCCCCCCCCCCTCCGCAATGCTGTTGTTAAGGTTCTATTTAGGTCTTCTTTCCTTGTTACAAAATTCTCTATTCTTAGGTGATTCCTTTCTATTCTTGGATTAAAGAAACATGTAGAGAAAGCTAGGTTTCAGGGAGGAAACCTGTACTAGAGGCCATTCAGGTGATATCTTTTTTTATTTAAATTATTTATTTATTGAAAATTTCATACATGCATATAATGTGTTTTGATCAAATCCATGCCCACTCCCATCCAACTCCTCCCATATCCCCCCCCATCGCTTTTTTCTGATAACTTAATGTACTCTTTCTTCTTTTTTTTTATAGGGCTTTTAGCTACTCTGACATCCCCCCTTCTGAAGAGGTAACCCTAAAATCTTTCAAAGATTAGATGAAAGCTCCCAAATATTTTCAATATTTTTGGCCTTTGGAACAGAGTAGGTTTCTAAGAGGCCCAAGGACATTGTGAGTTTTAGCCAAGAAACTGGCTACTTTTCCTTGGTGTCTTTTTACCCTAACCGCCTAGCCAATTCCTACCTCCTCTTCTTATCACACCATCCTCTGAAGAGGTTACCCAAATTGCTAATAGGGAATCAGGATGCAAACAGCTCTGGCATCTTCCATGCTGAACAGGGACGCAGGATGAGGC